ACCACTGCTGCCCAATGGGTAGTGGTAAATAAAGACTACTTAAAATGGGTGGAAAAGCTGTACTGGTTATTAGGTGCGAGCTGGAGTGCATATAGTGCTTGATCATAAAAAAGTGATCATAAATGCATGTAGCTGATACAACTGAGTTTAAGCTGTTGTTAACTGTACTTTAGTTTCTTGTGTCTACCAAATATTGTCCTGATAAGAAGTATTGAAGATGTCATTATGTAACTAATCTTAAAGGGATACTTCAAGCACCATGACCACTTCAGTGATTTGTCTGTATAGGGATCTAGCCCTTTGTTGCTAGAGCCATTAGGGCGGCATGAGTCAGTCGGGAACTTGAATTCCATTCTGGTTATTGTCAATTCTGTGCATATTGAACGTCTGTTGTCGGCACAGGGAGGAGCAGGTCAGTAAGGATTACTCTGACCTGAGTTTTCTCTGGTTGGCTCCAGCCTTTAATTAATACTAAGATACGTGAAATAGTAATAGGTGAGGAAGCCATGATGTTCCTAATAGTTTTCTGGCTTGAAATTCGAATCCGTGTTCATTTACTAAATATTATAAAGTGATAAAAATAGTACGTTTAGGTTGTGTAATAACATCAAGCCTGAGGATGTATTTGCATGCTTGAGAAAGCAAAATATATCCTTTATTGTGCTATACATGTTCATGTGCATCTGGTTTTATTAATTTAATTAATGCCATTAAATAGGAGAGGATTCAGGCCTGGTCCTCAGCAAACAAGAAATTACTTTGACCCCAAATACCCAGCTGTGTTTGTTGTTAATATTTCAAATTGCAACCATATTTTATGATAGGCCATTTTTCGTTTTAAATGCCAACATTTTTTGCATTTTTATATGAGTGAGACTGTAGCACCACATAGTGGACAGTATATGCTACTACAACAATCAAAACTAAAGTCTGACAATGTTTGATCCAAATGTGAGGACTAACATGTATTAGTGTGGCCAGATGTGAGTGGAGTAGAAAGTGAGCTGGACAAATGTGAGGATGGAGCAGACATTGAGGTGATAAGATGTGAGGATGAAGACGGCAGCGAGCTTGACAGAAGTAAATATGGAGCAGAATGTGTTGTAAAGTGATGTGATGGGGTATTAGTCTGGGCAGATGAGAGGTGAAACATTTATTAGTCTGGACAAAGGTGTGAGAATGGAGGCCTCACACAGTGGCGTACACATGCTCCATAGGGCCCCGGTGCAAAAATTGAACAGTGCCCCCCCCCCCCACTCCTCGCAGGCCAGGGCCGCAACACATGGCGGCAGGCACCTGGTCGCAGGGCTGCGACACCTGTGACCGCGGTATGTACACTAGTGCATGCAGATACACATACAAGTAAAGGACCACTATAGGCACTCAGATCACTTCAGCTCAATGAAATGGTCTGGGTGCCAGGTCCCTCTAGTTTTAACCCTGCCGCTGAAAACACATGCAGTTTCACAGAAACTGCTATGTTTACACTGAAGTTTAATCCCGCCTCTAGTAGCTGTCTCACTGACAGGCGCTAGAGGCGCTTCCACGATTCTCTCTGTGAAAATCAGTGAGAAGACGCTGGACGTCCATAGGAAAGCATTGAGTAATGTTTTTCTAAGGGCAGTTTGAATGCGCACACAGAGCTGAGAGGCGGATTGGGGCGGAGAGATCCCCAGCGCCAAGAGAGCCTGGCACTGGAGAAAGGTAAGTGCTAAAGGGGTTTTAACCACACACACGCATACACACTAGCTAACAGACACACACATTTACTGACAGACACACACTCAGCGACAGACATACATACATACTCACAAAACATACACTCTCACTGACAAACACACACTCACTAACAGACATCAAACACACTCAGTAACAGACACACACAGTAACACTCACTGACACACGCTAGCAGACTCACACTCAATAACAGACACACTCACCGACACTCACTAGCAGACACACACACTAACACATACACACTAACACATACACACTAACACTAACACACACATATTAACACACACACACATGTTTTTTTTTTAAATTTAATCCCCCCAGCCTCCTTACCTTTTGGAGAGCTGAGGGGATTCCCTGGGGTCCAGTGGTGCTGCTGGGCTCCTGGGTGGCGCGTAGGGATGCCGGCGCCGGAAGATGACGTCATCATCCGGTTCCGGTATCAGTGCAGTGCGCAAGGGAGCTGAAGAGGAAGCACTCAGGGGAGAGTGCTCCCTCGCGCGCCCGCCCGACTCCCGGGTGTCAGCAGGGCCAGCCTCGTGGGGGCCCTGAGGTGGCCGGCTCCTGGGCCCCCCAGGAGAAGAGGCTGGCAAACTGTCATACATACCCGGGTCGTGGTATGTACGTCAGTGGCCTCACATGTATGAGGGTGATGCTGGAAATATTCTTGGAACAATTGAGCTAGAAACAGGCTGTGCTTAGGATCCTAGGAAAGGTATTTGTTTGGGGCCCCTACTAGTGCCCAGGGTTCTTTGTGGAATATGTCTGTTTAGTGCTCTGTATGTGGTGGATGAGAGCTGGGTAAGGAGGCAGACTGAGTGCTGTGTGGGGAGGCTTAGTGCAGCTGTGTTTTGTGACTGACAGCATGGAATAGAGGCTGTGCATTGTGTGTGTGGTAGCTGAATTTTGTGTGTGGGAATGGCTGATTACGTTGCGTGTGTAAGGATGTTAGATGTGTGGGGAGACCTCTCTACACAACTTTTCTTATTTATAAAACATTTTTAATTTTGTCTCCCACCTACATATCTATTGGGCATGATCCTTAAACATAGGCGTGCGCACGTGGTGTGCCTGGGCACACCCTAATCCCCGCGGCATGCCTATGGATTGAGACCGGCAGGGGAGATCTCAGGTTCTCCCCTGTCGGCTCATGCAGAGCCGGCGCTATCCGAGCACCGGCTCTTCTCTAAGCCTCCAAGGGCCGGTGGGGAAATCAAAGATCTCCCTCACCGATCCACATGCAGGCAGGGAGGCAGGAGAAGACCCTGGGAGCTCCAACCAGCAGCTCCGTCGGATTCCTCTCGCGAGATCTGAGCGTTGCACACACACACAGCACCCACACACGCAGCACCCACACACACACAGCACCCACACACACAGCACCCTCACACACACACACACACACACACAGCACCCACACACAAACCCCACCCTCACACACACAGCACCCACACACACACACAGCACACTAACAGCACCCTCACTAACACACACACACACCACCCTTACAAACACACAGCACCCTCACACACAGCACACTAACAGTACCCTCACAAACACACGACACCCACCCACAGCACACAAACAGCACCCTCACACACACACACAGTACCCTCACACAGCACACGACACACACACACAGCACACACACAGCACCCTCACACAGCACACTAACAGGACCCTAACAAACACACACACAGCACACTACCAGTACCCTCACACACATCACACAAACAACACCCTCACACACAAACAGCAGCCTCACATACAGTACACTAACAGCACCCTCACAAGCACACACACACACAAACACCCTCACCCACATAGCACACTACCAGCACCCTCACACACACACATCACACTAACAGCACCCTCATACACAGCACCCTCACACAGCATACACACACACACAGCAGTGTATGTATGTGTGTGTGTGTGTGTGTGTAAATATATATATATATATGTATGTATATATATACACACACACACATAAATATACACGCGGCTTGTGTTTGTGCTTTAGGGTGCACACCCTAATGCAATAGGCTGCGCACGCCTATGTCCTTAAACCAGGTGCACTGTCAATGACTCAGAGCACTGGCTGCAGATTTCTGAGCCCTGGGTTACAGGGACCACTAGGGAGCACTGAAAGTGATCTGCATCCAACAGAGGTGCAGACCATGTGTTCCCTCAATGTAAAGAGGAGACACAGGACCAGCTAAGATCCAGGTGCTTAGCCCCTGTCTGAGCCCGGACCCTAGAATGATAAAATATTCTATGTACAAGTAGAGGTAGAGCAAGCCAGATTTGGAGCTGTCAGGGATGCACACAGTCGCTTGAAAATTGAGCTCAGTGGAGCAATTAGGGAAGAGGTAGGTGATGTAGAACTGGTTTGTTTAGTGAAAATTTTAACTTGCCATTATATAATGTTGTATTAAGGCAGTACAAAAAAAGGCTTACATTTGTTCATTTAGCTTTTCAGCTGGTAGGAAGGTTCTGAAGCTATGAATAGTTTTTTGTTTATTATATCTCTCTCAAGTTTTATTTGTAGTTTTACTTGTATCTTGTCAGCAGAGATTTCTGGAAACAAATTGAAGTTATAAAAATTCAATATATATTTTTATACCATAAAAAAAGATTGTTTACAAAAACTATTACATGTGACTAATTTCTGATATTTTTGATGACAGATGACTACGCCAGTGAAGGTCTATTATAGCCAGACGACGCAGACGGACATCCGACCCCTAATTGGAACAAGTCTAAGAAGGAGGCGTGTGATGACTAAAGATGGTCGGAGCAATGTGCGTATAGATCATATCGCCGATAAGAGCTTTCTCTACCTCAAAGACCTGTGGACAACTTTTATTGACATGCAGTGGCGTTATAAGTTGCTCCTATTTTCGGCAACATTTGCAGGAACCTGGTTTGTTTTTGGTGTAATTTGGTACTTGGTGGCTCTAATACATGGAGATCTCCTGGAATTCAATGCTCCGGCAAATCACACACCATGTGTCATGCAAGTCCACACTTTAACCGGTGCATTTCTTTTCTCTCTAGAGTCTCAAACCACCATAGGTTATGGTTTTCGCTACATTAGCGAAGAATGTCCTCTTGCAATAATTCTGCTTATTACTCAGCTGGTCCTCACCACCATTATGGAAATATTCATCACTGGAACATTTCTGGCAAAAATTGCTCGTCCCAAGAAAAGAGGGATGACCATTAAATTCAGTCAGAGTGCTGTGGTAGCTCAGCATGATGGCAAGTTATGTCTCATGATTCGGGTGGCAAACATGAGGAAAAGTCTAATGATTGGTTGTCAAGTATCGGGAAAGCTCCTCAAGACACACTTAACTAAGGAAGGTGAGAATGTACATCTGAATCAAATCAATGTAAACTTTAATGTTGACACATCCTCTGATAGCCCTTTTCTAATACTACCACTCACTTACTATCATGTGATCGATGATGCTAGCCCACTGAAAGATGTAGCAATTCGTTCTGGAGAAGGGGACTTTGAGCTGGTAGTCATTCTCAGCGGAACAGTGGAATCCACAAGTGCCACCTGTCAGGTGCGCACTTCATATCTCCCAGAAGAGATACTTTGGGGTTATGAGTTCAGCCCAGTACTTTCTCTGTCTTCTAGTGGGAAGTATGTGGCTGATTTCAGCCTCTTTGACCAGGTTCTCAAGGTGTCACCACCATGCTGCTTTCATGAAACTGTTCGATATGGGGATCAAGAAAAACTGAAACTGGAAGAGTCACTCAAAGAGAAGACGGAGAAGGATGGAAGTCCCTTGAGTGTTAGGATTAGCAACGTTTGATACAGGGAATGACTGGACATGGAAATGAAGCATCGAAACTCTACTGTAGATACTTGGCCATTCTTGCCAGGTTTCCAATGCACTGCCTTATGTTCTAAAAACACAAATAGAAAACTCTTAGCAAACCCACCATATGAATGTTTCTGAAACACTTCACTTGTACTGTAGTGAGATTTAAAAAAGGGCATTTATATCTAGAGAGGAACAGGTGTAAGTAGTGTAGATAGAATACATTATTTAAAATATAGCAAGACAAATGGACCCTATGGATTAGTGGATTCTCTATTGTTAGCAGGTACCATATATTTTTATAATCTACATTTTACCACATTTACTGCGTAGAGTGAAATAGCAATCCGCAATTTCTGAGCTATACATTTTGATATTAAAACAAAGAAACAAACACCATAACCAGTGCATATAATATGTTTAAGAGAAACTCTATGGCTAATGGTGGTTGACTATGGCTCCAGGAGGGTACCTCATGAAAAAAAAGATATAAAACAATACTGTTAAAAGTGAAACAAGGAGGGAAAATAACATATGAAAGAGGTGTTGACTTTCTTTGGTCAGTGTCACATCAATGGGAATTGATGGTCATATTAGCAGAACGCCCAACAATTGCAAACTGTAGGTGTCCTAGATGCACCAGTATGAAGAAGTGAAATTTATCCCACAGTAGTTACAAATCACTCAGTTGTGCATCGGCCAGGTAAGTTCCCATAAAAACCTTTCACTAGATATTTCATCCTGATTCCTGTATTTGGAAGGACACCCTTACCTGATCTTGCAGGATCACAGTCACACAGCAGGAACTGAAATTACGTTATGCTTGTTACAGATGTTTGTACCATTTTGCACAACGAATGGTTACAGGAAAAAGAACATAAACTAAAATGAAAACGGAAAAGACATTTTCATGAAACACCCTTTGAAATAGGTTATTCAGAAAAATTGAGGAGTTTACAAATCAAAGGATAACATGCATATTTTCTTAAATCTATTTATACTAATGCAGCACATTAAATATGAATGTAAACAATACTCTAACTCTAATTCAATACTCGAAGTCTCTTCTTACATAAACTGAACTATTTCAAAAGTAAAGGGAACTGTATACGATGTCATACCAGCTCCCAGACAATGCTATTGAGAATATATTTCAGAGCACAACATGGAAATCTGAAAATCTGTCAGCCAATACACAAACACACCTACAAAATCTATAACTGGATATCAAAAGACCTGTTTGGTGCTGTCGTCTTGCACCACATATCCAGGATAAACTCTTGTAGGCTAAACAAAATATATTAGGCAAATTATGAAAATGTCTGTGTGTAATTTTTTTGTTCTTACGATGTATGTAAATAACAAACAATTACAATTGGAATCAATTTGGCATACATTAAGGCCAGCAGAGATTAGTGAAAGAGGAAGAAACATCACAACAGATGAAAGGCCCTATTGTCCACGTCCAAGTAATCAGAACATCTGTTTTTTTATGGAAAAGAAAGAAAAAGGAGAAGTATCAATGCGTGACAATACTATGAAACCTGGCAAATTTCACATATAGGAAACAAATGGAAACAAACTTTAAGTGAAATGAACAATCTGTGCATTGTTATGGTGCTTGGAGTTAAACTTGACTATAATGACCTTCCTGGCCCTTCTGTCTTCTTCTCTGGCCCGGCTTCGATGAGGAAGTCTTTCACTGGGAGCAGCTGATAGGATTACAGAGTCTAATGTATTTTTCTCAATGGGAGCCCAGTGACAGACTTAAAGTGTCAACTGATGTATTTAGCCCACCGCTGTCACCTAGTGATAAGGCTTTCTTATTCAGTCAGATCAGGAGAACTTGTGCAACCAGGACTACTTTGGAGTTAAACCATTTTTAAACAGTTTAATCCGTTAAGACAAGACTGCCTTGGACATCCAGGCACCATATCAACTTCATTGAGACAATGTTATGGTACCTGGAGTGTCCCTTTTAACAGTGTGTCCTTACTTGGATTATAAGGTAGACTATTATGTATGTTCCATGGTTTCATCAATTGACAAGGAAGACTGAGAAAGAACCAAGCAAAATGCAAAGTAGAAAGTAAAGCTATGTAAATATAACTCCAATATGATGCATTTTTTGTTAGAATTTTCTTCAAGGTACAAAGTTAGCTAAAGTCTAAACATTTATACATTCTCTGCATATTAACTCCAGTGGTTTATGGTAGTTTACTGTCAAGGCACCAGCTTGATGATGATGATGATGAGTGCAATCAGTTGGATGATGGATAGAAAGATAGATAGATAGACAGATAGATAGATAGATGGATAGATAGATAGTGAGAAGGAGAAGACTACAATATGAGAGAGTGACAGAAGAGGACTCCTATAGATCTGTCTGGCCAGTATGGAGGTAGTGGTGTTCAGCAATGGTGGATTCTTTGTTTGACTAAAAGGGAGTAAATTGGATCTGAAAAGGCAAAACAAACTAAGCAATGGTTGTTAGAGGGATGTGGTTGGTGAACTTCTAAATGGTTTTGAGTGCAAAAAAAAAAAACTTGGTCCCTAATGCTGATATGGAACCAATGTGAATGTAGCACTAATACAAAGAGACATTGAAACGTAGGGATATGGCAGCACAATGTGTTATGGCAAAAGGCAGATAACCGTAGAGCGGAGATGGTTAAAGTCATCATGGGAAATGTAAAACTGATTTTTAGATTATTCTTACAGCCTCTCTAATATTTAGAGTCATTAAGCATGAGTCATGTACAGACGTTGGTGGTTTATATTAACAGTGTGTATAAGTAGACTGTACAGGCCTTTCCAAATCTCCTGTAACCTTTCTCAAGAATGAAATCAAGGCAGTTGGGACCAAGAAAGAATTATTAACGGACAATGTAGACCCTTGACCACACAAGCAGGCCTAAGGTATGAATAATGCACAGGTAAGATTGGAGGGATATTATAGTTATTATTTATAAGGCGTTAACAAATTCAGCAGCACTGTACAATAGGTGGACTAACAAAACGAGTAGATCCAACAAGACATGTTAGACAGGAACAAAAGCTGCTGAATGATCTTTACGGAAATTACATCTAATGGAAAAGTAAGTTGGTAGAAGCGTTTACAATGAAGGCTTAGTTTATTAGATTGACGCAGTCATAGGAAAGAAGGTTTAATGAACTGTGAGGAGAGAAAGATGTTAAGAGTTTAATTGATATGACTTCTTGAAACAATTAGGTTTTCAGTGATTTTCTTTTGTTTTGTTTTTTTAGTAAAGGAGACTGGATCGGAGTCTAATGAAGCAGGGATAGGAGTTCCAAGGGGAGTGGTGTAGTCCTAGAAAAGTCGTTAAGGATTGAGACAGACATGCGAGTATAAAAAAAGGATAGACATAGGTCATTGCAGAGGGTTAGACAGCAGCAGTGTTATGAAACAGATTTGTATGTCAGCATCAGAATTTTAACTTGAGCCCTTTGGGAAGCCAATTTAATGACTGACAGTGAGGGGAGACATGGGAGGTACGGGAGGACAGGAAGAGGAGCCTTGCCACATCATTCATCATAGAGTGTGGTGGGGCAAGCGGAGAGCATGTAAGACAAGTGAGACGTGAATTGCAGTCGTCAACGCAGGAGACGATGGTGACATGGATGAGCACCTTAGCCATATCTGGTGTTAGGTAGGGGCTAAGGTCGTGGGCTATGTTTTTGAGAGAGAAGCAACATGATTTGGCATTGAATGGATGTGAGGGGTGAAGGAGAGATTGGAATCAAAGAGAACACTAAGGCGGCAAGCCTCCGAGGTAGACCTGTTGGTAGTTTCGTTGGCCCGGAGGGAAGCGGACACTGGAATAGCTGTGTTTAAAGGCGGAAAATAGATAGTATACATGTTTTCATAAATGCAGGCTGTGCCATAAACAAATACACTTTCCTCAGAGCATACTTATAAAGTTACATTACTTTTTCAGCCATATGAATACAAGAAATGACTGTACCCCATTAATTTTCAGTGTGTGCCTTGCACGGAGATATTGGTACATAATGTTCCATTTACAGTAGAACTGTTGAACAAGCATTGTGCCTCACTGTAATTGAGAAATAAATGAGAGCGCTAAGAGGTGTACCACACATAACAAAAGAGTCATAGAATAGAGGGGATAATCATCTGGATTTAGTGAATAAATGGCAACATCCCTCTGTACGAATTTTATGTTGAGAAATAAAATGAGTGTAGAATTGTGTACTTATTTAATCTTTTTTTTATGCTACTTATGCCACTGCAAATGATCAATAAATAAAAGGGTTATGACTTAGGCATATTAAAACAATAAACGTAATAAAATTGGCACAGAAAGTGCCTTGATCTGTAAATAGCATGCAATTTGTCACCATAAAAAGTGAATCCAATATTTGTACTGCTTAAAAGGCACACATGAAACATTAAGATGCAAATATCACATAATTCTCAATTTCTCAGATGGTTGACTTAAAGGCTCATTAACACCAAAACCATGTTAAAATTTGAACACTAGTAAGATATTTTGATATTATATAGCATGTAGAACTTTGCTCAGTTGGTATAGTAAGGGTCCTTAAGTTAAAAATATATTATGATTTTATTCCCACTTCCAATCTCTCGATCAATAGAGAAATGGCAGTGCAAAAGGGCCAACAACGATGTCTAAGTCCCACCTACCAACAAAGCAATGTACATCATTGTCGATGATATTGAATTTCAAATTTAAGGCCAAGTAGCCAAACTATAAGAAGAGCCAACTAGAATATGTACAGTTTTGCTGTTTTGGGCTTAAATTTGAAACTCAGTTTGAACTCCTGACACTTTAGGGAAAAACCCCATAAAAAGTGAATTCTGAGGAATTTGCATGGCAACTGGAAATTCTAGGCCAATAAAAAACAAATAGAAAAATTCTCCAATTTAACTCTTTTTTTCAGGCAGCTACCATAGCTTAGTTATTGCTTCTCCTTACCAATTCACCTCAGTTCATGTTTTAGTGAATAGACCCTTTAGTATACTAGCATACTCATATACAGAAGATATTATGGTGTTAAAATTAATGGCACGCTAGACATGTTTATTACTATTATTTAAAAAAATGCTCGGACAAGACCATCAATCTGTCACCAGAATGAAACCGATTTGGATGAGGAGCAAATGACCTTACACCAAGGACTTGCCCCCATTACCTGATGACCTCACAACATCTCTCGACCAAGAGTATTCCTCTTGCGAGCCCCAGCCATTTAGAGCATTGCAGTGGGTTACCATTCCCCTGCTCCAATACTACCAAGGGGGTCTCGTGAGAAGAGCATACTCAGTCTGTACCTGTGCTGGGAAGTTCAGAAAATGAGATGGAGAATACGAGACAGACAGTACAGACAGTCACAGCAGAGGACATACAGTGCTCCCTCACTCCACCTGGCTGCGGGAATGCATCTTGCTAAGCTTTGACATTGCCTGCACTGGCCCCAAATACCTCCACTATTTTCTCAGACTGTGGACAATCCAAGGGAAAAATAAATGAATAGGTTTTTTTTTTTGTCGCTTAAATGAACTGGTAGCCACAGGTGGCGGGTTCCTGGTGGGCCAGTCTGGTCCTGCTTTCTCTAGATGAAATCAAGGCAACTGGGACCTGCGAGAAGTATTAATGGCTAATAAATTCCCTGACCACACGCATAAATACAGGTGCACCTCAAGGGTCTATATTATTGTTTTTGCCTATGCTCCTATAGGGAGAAATGCACACTGCAGTACCTTTAGTTTGGCTTTACTGGATACATGTGTTGAAGTGATAGGTGTTTGGTATTACTTGCCATGTACACTCCAACACTGGCTGTGTGGTGTTACTGGATTTACATGTACAATTCCTATAATTCTTTTATAATACATACATCTCTATACATGATTATGTTACAGGTGCTTAGTCATCCCACTGTTTAAAGTATAATCCACTCGGTGTCTCTAGATTTAAAGGGACGCTATCATCACGGAACAAGACAGCTTATACCCTTTACAGCTGGAATGCTAATTTTGCCTGCTAGGTATTAAGGGACTGCCAGTTCCTGTTAAGGTTTAGTCACGCAGTTTACGCTGCCTAAAAGAGTTGGGGTCTTGTGTCACATGATGTCCGGGGGATTTACAGATATTTATGGGACTCTGGCCAGACACAGGGATCCCTTACTACTGACTTAATACACCAACCGTGACTGGCCTGCTCTGTCTGTGCCCCTTTGATTGGCCTGCTCTGACTGTGCACATTTGAAAGGCCAACGCTTGTCTGTGCCCAAGCCCCTTTGGCCACAGTCCAGGGGTATACTACTGGGGAGTATCCCATACCCACTACAGACTCTAAGATGGGTGTGTGTCCAAGTCAGCACTGCTGCCATACCGACCCAGGGAAGCCTACAGGCATGATTGATGCGGCCATGACCTCCTCTGTTGAAAGATCGCTATCGCGAGCCTCCCATATAGGGGCACAACGGGGACTACGCGCTCAAGTAGAGTCAGGTTCTAACTCGCCAGAAAGAGACCAGACACATACATCTAGTGTTATGGGAAGGGTGAAGGCCCTGAACCTTGTGTCTGAAGGGAAAGACCCTGTGAAACGCCCAGAGCGGACAGCCGCGGTTTCACCTGCCAGACAGAGGCGTATCTCCTGGGTGAGGTTCGCAAGGTAACACATACAGTATCCAGTGCTCAGACACCCAGATGAGAAGACAGGATTTCATTGCCATTTTATTCCTAATCCCATACTGCTAGTCCTATGTCCTTATATCTAGGTTTTATCTAGGTCACGCTAGTTCTTGGCTATTCCTACCGGTTTTTCCCTATATTTTGCCTTTCCTGTCCATTATATTTCCGTGCCTCTGAGGTACGTATTTTAACTCTATCTGAATGTTACTTTAGCTCTGTCGCTTTTCTTTCTTTCATATCTTCCGTTTCCTTCCGCCAGGGACGTCGAGAGGCCTGACTTGACCTTTTCCAACCTCCCGGGCTCTTGTGGATCGCAGAGAACTTCTCCAGCTTTCCTCAGGCTACCGACGGTCATCCTGGATCCCGCACAGGTGCGCAGGATCCGGGCGGTCAGTTGGTAGATTCCACCAGTTTTTCCAGAGTTTCCTTTCTCTACCACCTTTTCTGTTATTAAAAGATGGGCACTGCCCGTGTTTGAAGACTCCCCGACTACCATCGGTTTGGTTTGTTCCCAGTTTGAATCCTCCTCTCAGGTGAGTGGTTCAGAGAGAGATCTCGTGGTTAGGGAGGGACTTCCCTCAGGACCTCAGTCCTAAACTGATATTATTAAGGGGTGAACCCCCGCTTTCAGTCAGCCTGAGCATGATATGGACTCTAGTTTGGATTGAAAGAGGGTGCGGCCCTCCATCGCCTCTGCCCGAGCCTGATATTATTTACACGAGTAGAGAGCGAACCCCTCTCATATATTGAACCGGACACTGATTCGTTATTGGAGGGCGCGACCCTCCCTCAACCTCAGTCCAATGCTGATAGGGATGCAGAGGACATGTTCTGAGTCTGGCCCACTCTCATAGTAGGAGCCGGACGCGGATGTAGACGCTACCTTTGTTATTAACGGGTACGGCCCGCTCATGCTATCAGCCTGATGCTGACACAGAGTTCGATTACTTTATTAGAGAGTGTGTCTCTCTCATACACTCAACGCACTACTGTGCCTCCCCCTTGCTCATCACACAGGCTTGTGCCAGAACAGGAGACCGATGACTTCATAGAGGGGCGTCCCTCCTACATTCAAGTGAATATGGAGATACATACCACATACCGGGTTTACCTCTGATGCTTCAACTCTTGCAACAGGGGTTATAGTATGCATGGGAGACAATGCTTCGTAACGACAGGGTAAGGGGAGAGAACCTCTCCATTTGATCTAACGACCGTGCTACTGGTTTCGTTATAGAGGGCTACCTGATCGTACACGATATACATGTTTAGACTGGATTCCTCTATTTCATCCCCTATAATGGATGTACTGGATTCGTATCGCTGTAGCCCGCACGGTAGAGACTCACTGAGGTATTACTGGGGGAGATCCCCCACCTTATTTACATGTTCCCCTGAGGCCTTGTGGGGCAATGTAAGGGCTGTTTGAACTAACTATCTTGGGTACAGCTCCCACTTTAGTGGTGACCCTATACCATTCCTATTTGACTTACCTTTGGAGTTTGTACGGAGGAGCTTCAGTTATTAGAAGAGACAGGTTTTGGCATAATCTGCTCTATATCTGACAAGCAATCGCACTCTGCTTAGGTTATACAGGCCATTGCGAACAAACTACCCAAACGGTCTTTTCCCAGATCAAGGGACATGAGATGTTGAGGCCTTCATAGAACAAACGTGCACTGCCTTACCCGGGTAACAAGACTGGGGAAAGCCAACAAACCGGTCTGCAGGTACACCGTACGCATGGTTCGCATGGAAAGACCGGAGTCACCAGTCGGTTTTGGGTTCCCTGGTCGTTAACAATCGTGGGATAGAGGACAGGTCTACCATATCTGGGGAACATGATTCGGATATGGGGGGCCCTCCTTGTGTACACTTATTCCTCACAGGAACCATCTCGGTTTTGTGTTTCTGCTAAACCACCAATTCAACTACTGTCAAGAAGACACATACTTGGCGACTCACAGGGTTCCCCCATAGAGCCCAAGTCCTACACAGACGTCACAAAGTCGAGACGCAACTTACCGCTGGAGTACTGCTCAGGATCTGTAGCAGGCTTGGATATGACTGCAGACGCTCTCAAACTAGACAGCCCTATCTTCGGAAGGTTGAACCTAGGCCCTTGTTTTTTTGCTATGTCTGTTCTCTGGAGTCACCTGTCATTAGTGAAGGGACTTTACGTCTTACCGGCGTATTGGAGAACGCTATGAGTTTGCGGGACTCCAGGCTAAGAAGGGAGGTATTCTTGAATTCACATTCCTGGGTCCCTTGGCCTAGGGCCTACTCTTGGAGATACGTGCCCGGACAGTCAGGCATACCGGGACCTAAAGGCCTCGCTATATTATACCCTATTTTGAATGTGGCGTGCAGACCATGAGTTCCTCCGCAAATTTTGACAGGTCGGGCATGGAACAAGATCGTACAGACGATTAATCAGATTATTCACTCTCTCCCTAATCAGTCGCCAGTCTCACGGCTGGATGTCCTGCTCCAGAACCGCTCACCAGGGCCGACACTTTGAACCGCTTTCAAAGCCTTTGTGTACCACCACGCGAATACAGCACGTGAGGACTCTTCTTCATCCATGCAGGACCCTATTACCCTTGGATCAGAACCACTTATCACTCCTCGACGAGGATATATTTGGATGGAAATCTCAACCTCTAGTTTTGTTTCCCTCTTTGGGGTATATCCAGGATTCAAAGTCCCCAGAGTATTCGATCACCGTTTCGCTAAAACAAGCTCAGTGTTGGGACTCTGATTGG